TGGGCCCAGGACACGATCCCCAGGACTGCCTTCGGGCCCCCCATTTCCGTCCCCATCCCAGGCCCAGCTGACCTTGACTTTCCCCCACAGAGCTCCGGCTGGGAGGTGAGTCCACTTGCCCTCCAAGGCCACCTGCCTCAGGGACCCTTGTGATGCCTGGTCAGCAGCGGTCAGGGACCACTAGGGGGCACAAGAAGAGCGTGACCACTGGCCAAGGGGGCCCGAGGCTCTGTGGGTGATGACGCACCCCCCTCCACCTCCCCCCTTTCCCCAGACGTCCCCCCCTGCCCCAGATCTCCAGGGCAGTATGTGAGTCACCCAACTGGTGGCTCTCGAGGCACCCCTCCCGCAGGCAGGGCTAGCTGTTGCTGCTGCATGGGGGGTGTGGAGGGAGGGGCTGCGGGTCTCCCTCGCCCTCTCTCAGCCTCTGCCTGTGTCTCTCTCCTCCGTCTCTCCCCAGCTGTCTCTGGCCTGTCACTCTGGCTCTCCCTTTCTAAGTGTCTAGTCTCTGTCCTGCCTCCACAACTCCCAGCTTCCCACAGGATCTCTGCTCCTCATCTCTGGTTAATGCCCCCCCAGTCCCGCCTCTTCCCTTCTATTTTTAGGCATCTCCTAGTTTAGGGAGAATTTTCTGGCCAAAGATGGCAGGAACCCAGAGTCCTGGCAGGCGTGCTGGGTGGGGGCCCCTCCCTCCCCAAAGCCCTGATCTCTGCCCATGGAGTGATTCTCATAGGGTGCCATGGCCAGGACCCGAGGGGAGGGGGGTGACATCTGACCCCTGCCATGACTGTCTCTCTCTGTTCACCCCCCACCTCCGGCCCCACTGTGTCTGCTCCGCCCTGCCCGGATCTGCCTTGGTGAGTGACCTGAGCACCCACCTTCCTTTCCTGGGGGAGGTGGCATTCTTGGGGTGAAGAGGGATTCCTTCTTTTAAACGTCAGGCTCTGGCAGGAGAGAAATGCCCTAGAACAATGCAGCCAGAGCCTCTGTCCCAAAGCAAAAGACAACCCGATCACCCTTCAGCCATTCAAGCATTTATGTAGCACCTGCTACATACCAGCCCCATGGGCATCGGGACCCAGAGATGAGCAATACAGTCCCGCTTCTAATTTGGTATTGGGATCCAGATGATGAACCGCTGCATAGGGAGGCGGGAAAAACAGAAGTCTGGGGTGTTAAATGAGAACAACAACTTGGGGAGGTAGACAGGTCGGGGAGTATGGGCAGTTGGCTGTGGTCCAGACCTACGCCCTGACATTCTCCAGGTCCTCTGCTTGTGCTCATGACTGGATGTTCTTGAGGTCCTCATAACCCCCTCCTGATGTTCTCAGGGGTCCCCCTTGTCCATGCCAACTTCTTCCCCAGCCCTATCTTGCTTCCCTCTGCGTTCTGCCTTGTGGGGCACAAGGACACCCATCTCTGGATTAGGGAGGCCTCCAGAGGTGCCTCCCAGACCTCAAAACCCCATTCTCCCAGCCCCAGCGTGTATTCGGGACGTATTTCCGAGTGGGCTTCTATGGCGCACGTTTTGGGGACCTGGACGAGCAGGAGTTTGTGTACAAGGAGCCCTCAATCACCAAGTTAGCTGAGATCTCCCACCGATTAGAGGCAAGTCCAGTCTCTGGGGGATGAGGGGGGCAGGACACCAGGCTGCCTGGGGACTGGAGTGGGGGCTGCAATTGTGCAGATCCGAGTCAGCCCCATGTCCTCAGGAGTTCTACACAGAGAGGTTTGGGGACGATGTGGTGGAGATCATCAAAGATTCTAACCCTGTGGACAAGTCCAAGCTGGATCCACAGAAGGTGGGCTCTCAACCATCCTCCCAAAATCCTGTATAAAAGGAGATTCTAAATACTATTTCCCAGAGAAGCTAAAATCCTATTTCTCTTACACAACTCCAAAACTTATTTTCCTAAAGCCTATTCCTCAGGGTAGTCCCAGTCATCCAGATGTAGGAAGACCTGGGAACCCTAGAATTAAAAGCCCCCAGACTCAGGGCAGCCAGGGCCTCTTTCCCCAGGCCTGGGGCCCCAGGTGCCTGTGCTGGGGCTGTGGAACCCTCACCCCCACCCCACACCCCAGGCCTACATCCAGATCACTTATGTGGAGCCGCACTTCGACACTTATGAGCTCAAGGACCGTGTGACCTACTTTGACCGCAACTACGGGCTGCGAGCCTTCCTGTTCTGCACGCCCTTCACGCCAGATGGGCGCGCACACGGGGAGTTGCCCGAGCAGCACAAGCGCAAGACCCTGCTCAGCACTGAGCACGCCTTCCCCTACATCAAGACGCGCATCCGTGTGTGCCACCGGGAGGAGGTGGGCGCAGGGAGGGGAGGGGGGCATCAGATTCAGCGGGCTCTGGGAAGGGGAGGTATAGGGACCCTAGACCTAGGTTGGCTCAGCAATCCAGACCTAGAAAGGGGTGGCATGGGGATCCCAGATCAAGGAAGACCCAGAAAGGAGAGGTGCTGTGAACTGTGGGTCCAGGGCAACCCAGAGAGGTCTGGATGTACAGTCCATCCCCTTCCAGCCAGAGAGGAAAGGCCTGGAGACCCCAGATCCAGGAAGAGGCTCAAGTACCCCAGAACTGGGTTGGAGAGGTGGGGGGCACCTCAAACTCTGACCTCCAGACCCAGGGAGGCCGGGAGACCTTAGACATAGGGACGTTGGACTCAAGGGCACCAGACCTAACCTCTAAGGCTGGACCCTAACCATGCCACCACAGAGTCAAAGGCAGCTGCACCAGTACCCCCACCATGGCAGAGCCCAGCAGACAGAAGCCCCCAGGGCCCATTCATCGCCAGCCTCTCGGGCCCTCTGCCCTCAGTGGGATCCCAGCTTCCTTGGGCTGACCGGGTCAGGACACCATCAGGTCCCAGCAAGTGTATACACCCTCCCTCACCCGCAGACAGTGCTTACACCAGTGGAGGTGGCCATCGAGGACATGCAGAAGAAGACACGGGAGCTGGCCTTTGCCACTGAACAGGACCCTCCAGATGCCAAGATGCTACAGATGGTGCTGCAGGGCTCTGTGGGGCCCACTGTGAACCAGGCACGGCTCGTCCGGGGGGTGCAGGCTCCCAGGGCGACTCTAGGCCCCATGCAGGCACCCTCATGGGTCCCTGTCACCCTGTAGGGTCCCTTGGAGGTGGCTCAGGTATTTTTGGCAGAGATCCCAGAAGACCCCAAGCTCTTCCGGCATCATAACAAACTGCGGCTTTGCTTCAAGGACTTCTGCAAGAAGTAGGTCTGACACTCTCCCAAAGGCTCCTGTGTCCCCCGTAGGCTCCTGTGTCCCCCGTTCCAGCTCTTCACTTAACGGGCCCCCACTCTTGCTGATAGCTCCTCCTCAGTTTGCCTGACCCCCTGGTGGGTCTACCTGCAGGCTGGGTCCTCAGGGACTTGCTTTCTCTGCTGACCATCTCCTGCCCTCTGGCCCTCAGATGTGAGGACGCTCTGCGGAAGAACAAAGCCCTGATTGGGCCTGACCAGAAGGAGTACCACCGCGAACTGGAGCGCCACTACTGCCGCCTGCGGGAAGCGCTGCAGCCCCTGCTCACCCAGCGCCTGCCCCAGCTGCTGGCCCCAACCCCAGCCAGCCTCAGGTGTCCAACCTGGGCCCCCTACCCTACAGAGGGCAAGCGGAGGCTGGCCAGGACAGACACACTTGCATAGCAACACTGGCGGAGCTCACAGCTTTGCATATCTCCATACGTACAAAGGCAGGGCAGTCTCTGGGAGGCCATGTCCCTGACATGTGTCTTCAGCTGTCTGACCCTCAGTTTCCACATCTGTGAAACTGGCCGGATTCATACCTCTCATGGCGGATTCCAAGAATCTGCAAACCCCACAGCCAGATCAGGGCGAAGATAAAAGGGGCAGGAGAGATCTTAAAAAGATCTTTGGAAGAGGAGGGGGCGGTGTCATAAGAGGAGGTGGAGGGGGGAGCCCTGTGGAGTTGGAGGCCCTGCTGGGGACCCATGCTGACTAACCCTGTTCCTCCCCCAGGAACTCTCTGAACAGAGCAAGTTTTCGGAGGGCAGACCTCTGAGCCCAGAGGACCAGCATCCAGGCCTCAGCTGTCTGTGCCTTGCTGGGAGTCGCCCCTACTGCCCTCTCAGCCTCAGGGTGTCTGCACTGTACTTGGGGTTGAGCCCTCTGCTCCTCTGTCTGTCTGCTCCTGTCTGTGTGCACTGATGCTCCCTTTTTTAATTTAAAATGGTTTTTATATGCAGCCTGTATGATGTGGTCACTGGGGGATGGGTCACGTGTGTACAGTCCATCCCCTCACAGCCATGTGTCCTGTGACACCCACTGAGACACTGATAACCTCCTGGGTGCTGGGTACAGTGGTGACTGCCCTCGTGAAGCTGACACTTTAGTGGGGAAAGTGACACAAATAATCCACAAATCCACTGGGAATAATAACAACACTTATCAAGTCCTCACCGAGTGCTTCCAGAAGAGCCGGCCACCCCGCGATGGGGGTGTAGCTCAGTGGCAGAGCATTTGCCTGGCAGGCATGGGGCCCTGGGTTCAGTCCCAGCAAGGTGAAACTTTTTAAAGTTTAAAAAATGTGGCCACCCCATTTATGGGCTTTTTTACTGAGGGACCTCTATTGGGCTCCTGCCTAGTGGTTAAGCAATCTCCTCAACATTCCTGTCAGATTGACGACATGATTAGCCCCATTTTGCAGATGGGGAAACTTGGGCTCAGTGCAATAAAAGATGGATGAGCCTGGGATTGGAGTCCAGGTCTGGCTGACTCTGGCGCCCAGGCCTTAGCCGCCGCCTATGCAGCCTCGCGCTAGAGCAGCCCCCCTCCCAGCCCGCGATGGTCACGCCACCGTGTACCAGGCCTGTGCTGGGCCGCTTCCAGCCCTGCGCGGGGCAGGGGGTGGGAGGGAAGGGTGACCTCCCGCCGCCGCGCCCGCCCCAGAGCCCTCCCCGAGCTGGGCCCCGGCCAGCCCCGCCCCCCGCGGCCGCCCAGATGCAGAGGGCGGGGGAGGCCAGCGATCGGGGATCCAGCCCCTGGGACGGCTGGCGGGGACAAAGGGGGACGAGTCGGGCACCCGCGACGTGCACACACACCTGCCGTGCAGGTGAGACCGCGTCCACCCCACCACTCTGCCTTTCCCTTGACCCTACTGGCCTGGGGCACCCGAGGGGCGGGGCCTGCCGGGGGCGGGGCCAGGGGCGGGGCCAGCCCGAGGGCCGGGCGGCCAGGCGGCGGCGCGGAGGACGCAAGGGCGGCGGGACGCAGGGACGGCGGCGGCCGGAGCGCGCCAGGCGAGTAGGACCCGGGCTTGGGTCGGGCTTCGAGTCGGGTTCGGAGTTCGTGTGCGGTTCCTTCCCCACCTCCAACTCCGGGCACAACCTCGTGGTTCCTTAGGAACCACTGCCTCCAACCTCAACTGTCCCGAACTTTCCCGACTGAGAGCATCTCGGTCTCGCGCCCCTGTCCCCTCCCCATCTTTGACCCTAGCCCCACTTCCCGCTTCCCGCATCTACCTCCATCCCTCCACCGTGCCCTGCCTGTCCCTCTCCCCCACCCCTGCCTCCCCTCTACCTCTCTCCTTCGCGGCATCTCTCCCTCTCTCGGCCCCTGTCCTGCCCTCCCGCCCTTCTGTCCCTCCTCCCGCCCTCTGCGGCGGGGCCAGGCCCCAGGCGGCGGGAAGGCGGCCCGGCGTCCGGCCGGGCTGGGCCTCGGCCTGGCGGCTGGGTCGGCGTGGGGAGCGGCAGCTGTTTGCTATTAGCCTGGGACCCCGCAGGCCCCGCCCCTCCCTGCATGGGGCGGGGTATCCTCGCCCCCAACTTTGGGGCGGAGAGAGGGGCAGAAAAACCCCGGAGATGTCCTGGCTGGCAGGGAGGTGCTTTGGGGAGACCCTGTACCCCTACCCTGAGCTCCCCCACGTGACCCTTCTTGGAGACCCCTGTACCCCTTCCCTGAGCTCCCCACGTGACCCTTCTTGGAGACCCCTGTACCCCTTCCCTGAGCTCCCCACCTGACCCTTCTTGGAGACCCCTGTACCCCTTCCCTGTGAGCTCCCCCACCTGACCCTTCTTGGAGACCCCTATACTCCTACCCTGAGCTCCCCCACCTGACCCTTCTTGGAGATCCCTAACCCCTTCCCTGAGCTCCCCTACCTGACCCTTCTTTCCCCTCCTGTTCTCCCAGGAGTCCTTCCACCCACATGCTACCACCCCACACTCCCAGTGTCTCTTTCTTTGGCCATGGAAGGTGGTCAGATAATTGGAGACCTGCAGACCTCCATGTCTGGGAAATGGGTAGAGGGCCGTGGAGTCTGCAGGGAGTGGCTTGGTGGGTTCTAGTTGATTGGCTTTTCCATTGCCCAAGTGACCCGAACAAGTCGATGCACTTTTCTGCCCCCTTAGGTTCTCCATCTGTAAGCCAGAGAAATAACTACCCACCTTGACTATTGTTATAGTGTTGATGGTATTTGCTACACCTACTGGGTGTACCTGCTCCCCCTGCCCCAGGCTATACCAAACCTGCTCCCTGCCTCTAGGTCTCTCCTAAGTCCCCAGAAAATGTTTCAGATCAACTTCCTGTTGCTCATGGGGGTGAGGCTGCAGGCAGATGGAAAAACTGGTGACCGTGCATTCCAGGTGTGGAAAGCCAGTGAAGCGAGGACAGAGACGTGGAGAGACAGGCAAAGAGAAGTGGAGAGACTGAGAGACAGAGAGGTGGAGAGACAGGCAGAGAAGAGTGGAAAGAGAAAGACGTGGAGAGAGACTAAGCAAGACAGGACAAGAAGACATACTCAGCTGTCCCTGGAACCCCAACCCCGCCTTCATGCCCAACAGGTGCCCCACTTGGTCCATCTTCACAGGTACCCATTGCCCAGGTACCCTCATGCCAGAAAGGGTTCACTTTCTTTGTGGGATGAGCTATGGGTTCTGCAGCAAGGTGGCTAGAAGTCAGATTGCAGAAAGGACTGGCCAAGTTCAGTCAGGGTTTGGGGGACAAAAGGGCCCTGGCTAGTCTCCAGGGCTGAGGGGGGTTTAGTGAGAAGCCCTGATTGTTCCTCCCTTTTGCAGCCTCCAGGCGCCCTCTCTTACTTCCTCCCCTCCACCCCATGGCTTCCCGGGCCTCCGCCCCAGCCCTCTATCCCTGCTGCACCCCCAAGCCCGGACACATCCTGGGGGGGCAGGAAGTTCTGTGTAGCCCAGCAGTGAAACTGTTTATTTTTAGAGAAAATTGTTTCCATAAAGGGGAAGGGCTTTGTGCCTCCCACTTTCCCTACCCCCCATCAGGGCTCTCTGCCTTGGGGTCGCCTAGGGGTCCACTACCCCTGTGTGGCTTCTTAGATCCTTGCAGGAAGACTGTCCCCCGTTAGCGCCCCAGCCTGTCTTAGCCCCCAATTTTTTCTGTGGCCAGCTCCAGGCCTGGGCTAAGGAGAGGGGGTTCAGGAAGGGTGGGGCTGTCAGGCCTGGGGCCCCCGGCCCTGGTGCGTGTGGAGGCAGGGCTGTGGGAACAGCTGGAGCCTGTCCAGGGGCTGGACAGATGTGCACGCAGGCCTTAGGTTTGGTTTCTTTGTTCCGGGCCTTTCCTTGGCTTGGCAGGGTGTGTGCATATGAGAGGGTCCCAGACCTGGGTGGGGCCACTGTGTGGCCACATTCCCCTCCCCCTGCAGACTGACTCCTCCTGACCCGTTCCACCACCCCCTCTCCCCAGGTAACGTTCAGCCAGTGCTGCAGGCAGTCTGACTCACTGTCCCCCAAGTGACTCCTGAGGAACAACTGCAGACAAGAAGATGGCCCAAGTCCTGCATGTGCCCGCCCCTTTCCCAGGTCAGGGGTCTGGGGGGGAGGGGGAAGGGCCCTGCCCTGGGAGTTCTGGCCAGGGCTTTGCCCTGAGGGCCGAGGGGGAGGCCACAGCCCAGCCCTGGGAGGACTTGAAGGAGACAGAATCTTGCTGGGACGAAGGGGTAACCCAAGGGGGAGATAGGGACCTGTCCTGGGAGGCTGTTGGGGGACATGGTGCAGCACTGGGGTCCTGGGCAGGAGAAGTACAGCCCTGCCGTGGCCGGGGGATCTGAAGGAAGGAAACTTCTCGCTGGGAAGGGGTTTAGTTTGAAGGGGCCAGAAATCCCTGTGCTGGGGGACTTGGGAGGCACAAGACAGGGTCAGCACAGAGAGTCAGAGTGGGACACCCTTTCCTTCTGGGGGTGGGCCCCGCTGTCCTGGGAGAGTGTGGGGAAGAGACAGCCCTGCTGGGGGACTGAGAGGGAGGCAGTCCGGGCCCTCTGTCTCAGGGCAGGCAGGAGGACGCCCAGTCTCCAGGGAGCTCAGCCTTGCCCTGGGAGGCCTGAGGGTGACCTGGAGTCGGTGTGGAATACCAGGTGGGCTCCAGCCTTCAGGCACATGGAACCTGGCCTGCCTGGGCCCAGGCAGAGGGACAGCGGTGCTTAGAGGTGCTGGCCTCTCTCTCCACCCCAGGGACCCCGGGCCCAGCCTCCCCGCCTGCCTTCCCCGCCAAGGAGCCTGACCCACCCTACTCAGTGGAGACCCCCTACGGCTACCGCCTGGACCTGGACTTTCTCAAGTACGTGGACGACATCGAGAAGGGCCACACGCTGCGGCGGGTGGCTGTGCAGCGCCGTCCCCGTCTGGGCTCCTTGCCGCGAGGCCCTGCCTCCTGGTGGACGTCCACCGAGTCGCTGTGCTCCAACGCCAGCGGGGACAGCCGCCACTCGGCCTACTCCTACTGCGGCCGGGGCTTCTACCCGCAGTACGGCGCCCTGGAGACGCGCTCCGGCTTCAACCCGCGCGTGGAGCGCACGCTGCTGGACGCCCGGCGCCGCCTGGAGGACCAGGCGGCCGCGCCCCCCGGCCTGGGCTCCCTGACGCCCAGCGCTGCCGGTTCCACGGGCTCCCTGGTGGGCGTGGGGCTGCCACCGCCCACGCCTCGAAGCTCGGGACTGTCCACGCCGGTGCCGCCCAGCGCCGGGCACCTGGCCCACGTGCGGGAGCAGATGGCCGGTGCCCTGCGGAAGCTGAGGCAGCTGGAGGAGCAGGTGAAGCTGATCCCTGTGCTGCAGGTGAAGCTGTCGGTGCTGCAGGAGGAGAAGCGGCAGCTCACAGTGCAGCTCAAGAGCCAGAAGTTCCTGGGCCACCCCACCGGGAGCCGTAGCCGCAGCGAGCTCTGCCTGGACCTCCCGGAGCCGCCCGACGACCCGGCGGCGCTCGAGACCCGGAGTGTGGGCACCTGGGTCCGCGAGCGGGACTTGGGCGTGCCCGACGGGGAGGCGGCGCTGAATGCCAAGATCGCCGTGTTGGAGACCCAGCTCAAAAAGGCCTTGCAGGAGCTGCAGGCAGCCCAGGCCAGTCAGGCCGAGCCCCAGCCCCAGGCCTGGCCCCCGCCCGACAGCCCAATCCGAGTGGACACGGTCCGGGTGGTGGAAGGGCCGAGGGAGGTGGAGGTGGCGGCCAGCACAGCTGCTGGGGCCCCTGCACAGAGAGCGCAGAGCCTGGAGCCTTACGGAGTGGGGCTGAGGGCCCTGGCGACATCAGGAGGGGCAGAGAACCCCCCTGTGTTCCGCAGCCACGAGGTGGTGGAGACCATGTGCCCAGTGCCCACTGCGTCCACTAGCAACGTCCACGTGGTCAAGAAGATCAGCATCACAGAGCGGAGCTGCGAAGGGGCGGCAGGTGAGTGCGGCGGGGGGAGGGGAAAGTCTGTGGATTGTCTTTCTCTCCACTGCTCATCCTGCACCCTGGGAGTGGCAGGGCCCAGCCTTTCACCAGCCGCATCATCCAGCTCTCAGAGCCTCTGTCTTTTCATCCACAAACAAGTGAGCCACTGACCTAAGGGCTGTAGAGACCATGTGGAGAAATTGGGTGTCTAGCGTGGGACCTTCTGCATAGCTCATAGTAAAGTTCAGAACAGGAGTTATCTGGAGGAGGCTCTGTGTAAGTCTGTCGGTTAGCTGGGCAGAAACCCTCCTTGTGTATTCAGTAAGCGGCGGGAATCAATCTCTGGTACAGGAAACAGGTTGTTCATATAACCGGCAGCCTCAGGTTTAGCTGGATCCAAGTGCTCAGATGCCATCAGGAATCTGTAAGTTAATGTCATTCTCCTTCCTACCCTGGAGATGGGCAGAGGAAGGTGGCCCCATCACTCCAGGGCTTTTTCCTTCCAGCTCAGTGGAAAGGGAGCCCTTTAGTCTAAATAGTACCAGTCGAAGTCCCAGGAGTGGCCTTCATTGACTGAGCCAGTCACTGCACCCTTCATTGCCTATTCCTGGATCCTGAAGGAAGAGAAGCCCCACCCAGGCTCTGTGGCCTTTAAGAGAGGAAGGGGGTGCTCCAGAAGAAGGGCTGAATCTTTATGCCAGGAAAGTGGGTGCAGGGTGTGCAGAACATCAGCTGCCCAGGCACTGCTGCCCTGAGGGCCCAGGGAGAAGCTACCAGAATGACTCATAATAATGACAGCTGTTCTTTATTGAGTACCCGTTGAGGAGTACTAAATGCTGTGCAAAGTGTTTTACCCAAGGGGGGGGGTCATCTGTGCAGCCAGAGGGCCTGAGTTTAGATTACACTTCCTGCTGTGTGACCTGGGTGAGCAATACCACCTCTCTGGGCCTCAGCTCACCTCTCTGTGAAGTAGCATAGTACTGGTTCCCACCTCTGAAACCCTGGTGAATTCACGTACACAGTAAGTGCTCAATCAGTGCTTCTTGCTGCTTCTGCTAGTAACTTTAGGTCAACCTGTTTATAGCTGGGGAGACTGAGGCTTCACTCGCTTGCCCTGTGTCACACAGCCAGGAAGCAGCTGAGCCGGGATCTGAGCCCAGGCCAGCTTGAACCTGGGGCAGGGCTCCAAGATGGGTCCCAGATTCCCCTCCCGCCTGCAGGGTCAGCTGCCCGGCGCCCAACCAACATCCGGATGGCAGGGACTGAGGGCAGGGACCCAGCTGTGCTTTCTCACTTCCCTGTGTTGTTCCTGGCCAACTCCGGACACCACTCCTCTGTTCCGTGTCCATCCAAACACCCAGCCCTGCGACTCTGGCCTTCAGCCAGCGGTCCCGCCCGGCCCAGCCTCGGAATCTCTGAGAGGCACCCTCCATTCCAGACATGCTTCCCAGGGCAGCCATGGGGCCTCCTGCTTGCAGGACATACAGACACAGCAGTGTCCACCCCCTGTGCAAGCCGCTGTCCCTGAAGGTCCTTCCTGGTGGCTTACTCCACTCCCTCTTGCTGCAGGCAACCTTGGTCTTTGCCTTGCTTGGGTAGAGCTGGAGTACATTCATTCGTCTCGATATCTCATTTAGCAGACCTTTATGGAGAGCCCACTAGGTGCTGGACTGTTGTAGGCACTGGGAATGCAATCGTGAACTAGACAGACAAAAGCCCCTGCAACAAATGAATAAGAGACTGCAGTGATCGGAAATGTCACTTCAGGGAATTCACGTGTTTAAAGCAAAAAAGTAGAGACGTGGAACTGGGGACAGCTAGATAGGGTGGTGGCCTGGGTTCAGCTCTGACTTCCCTGCTCCTGGGTCCCGCAGCATGCTGCGTAAGCCCTCTGTGCCTTAGGTCCTCATCCACAAACTGGGGTCCTGCCAGTCTGTTACTGAAACACTCTGAGCCTTCTGTCACGGCCAAGGGCACGGCTTAGTGATAGAGCAAGGGTTTTACATGTGTGAAGCCCTAGGTTCCCTCCCCAACACCACAAAAAAAGGGGAAAAAAGGTGGGAATCATGTCAAATGGTCAGCAGGGCCCAGGGCATGAGGCAGGGTGCAAGGTCACCTCCAGGCCTTGTGGCATCTCCCAACCAAGATGCAAAGGAGCCAGGTGGGCAGAGGAGTAAAGGAAACAGTGTTCTGGGCAAGGGCCAAGCGGTCAAAGGCCCTGAGGTGAAGAAGGACTCCTCAAAGTGTCGAACGGAACCAGTCACTCCGGCAGCACCGGAGGCTGAGGCAGGAGGATTGCAAGTTCATGGCCAGCCTCAGGAACTTAGTGAGGCCTGACCTCCAAAAATTAAAGTAAAAAGGGTTGGGGACATAGCTCATGGTAGAGCACCCTGGAGTCCATCCCTAGTACTGAAAAAAAAAAAAAGAAAATTATGGCATTCCAGGGTGTTATTTAATGCCTGTTTCATATTTTATTTTATTCCTTTGAATTCACAATGACCCTATGAAGTGTTGATGTTTTAATTCTCATTTTACAGATGAGGAAACCCAGGCCCGGGGAGGTAAAGGAATTTGCCCAGGGTTCTCAAAGCCAACGTTCAAACTTTGTCTTTAGTTTAACATGATCCTCGGAGCATTTTCTCTATTCGTCCAAATTCTTTGGACACACTATTTTTTAAATACTGACACCATTTTTTTTCTCTTTTTCTTTTGTGGTGCTGGGGATGGGACCCAGGGTGTTGAGTGTGCTAGGTAAGTGGTCTACCACTGAGCTACAGCCCCCCAAAACAATCAATTATTGATTAATTGATTGATTGATTGATACTGGGGATTGAACCCACAGGCAGTTTACCACTGAGCCACATCCCCAGCCCTTTTTATTTTTTTGTTTTGAGAAAGGATCTCACTAAGTTCCTTAGGGCCTCAAACTTGTGATCCTCCCGCCTCAGCCTTCCAAGGAGCCCGGATTACAGGTATGCACCATCATGCCTGGCCCAGAATTGATTTTTAAAAATTTAAGTCATTGAACTGCACCAAGTGTGGACAGAGCGCCAGGCCGTGGGCATGTAAAGTAATTCAGTAAAAGACATGAAGGCCCTTGAAAATACCCTTCCTGAAACCTGTCGTAAGCAAAGAGGGTGGACCACGCGAGACGTTCTCCCAGCATTGAGTTGACCTGAGTCTCCAGTTTGCAAGCCACACCCGCTGGTCTCCTGCTTTGCTTTGGTATATTTCTTCTCTGTCCCTTCTGTCCTCCACCGGACAGCTTTGCAACTCTGCAGGCTCTACCTTCTCTGTCTCGTCAGCTCACCCGTCTCCGTCTCGTTTTCCCTGCCTTATTGAGACATTATCAAATATTAAGGAAAAAACCCAAGTGTTAAGTATGGACGCTGAGCCAGTTCAGTGCCTCCTCCTGCCCTCATGGTGCAGAAGCAGCCATCGGTGAGACGTCAAGGAACAGGCGTGCCTGGTGCTGTGTGCACACCTCTGGTCCCGCAGCTGGGGAAGTTGAGGCAGGAGGAGTGCAAGTTCAAGGCCAGCCTGGGCAACTTAGCTAGACCCTTCTCAAGGGATAAAGGAACAAGCTTGGCTGTGCCCCAGCGAAGCTTTACTTGTGCATGCTGAAATTCGATTTTTTAAATATGTTCCACATGTCCTGTAGCATTTATTCTTTTATTTTTTTCCCAAACCACTTAAAAATGTAAAAACTGTCTGGTATGGTGGCACATGCATATAATCCCAAGCAACCCTGGGAGGCTGAGGCAGGAGGATCACCAAGTTCAAGGCCAGCCTCAGCAACTTGGTAAGGCTCTAAGCAACTCAGTGGGACCTGTCTCTAAATAAAATACCAAAAAAGGGGTGGGAGTGGGGCTCAGTAGTTAAGTGCCCCTGGGTTCAATCCCCAGGACCCAAAAAAGAAAAAATAGAAAAGAAAAACTGTGCCCATAGACCACACCTTCCCCATCTCTCCTCTGTGCCATTCAGGTACCCCCACCTCCACCACTTCTTCCCCCCATCTTTTTTTTTTTTTTTCCTAATGTGGTGCTGGGGATTGAGCCTGTGCCTCTCACATGGAATGCAAGTGCTCTGCCGCTCAGCGTCACTTCCATTTTTATTTTGAGACAGGGTCTCGCAGAGTTGCCCAGGCGGGCCTCAAACTTGTGATCCCCCGGCCTCAGTGGCTGGGTCTACAGGCGCATGCCACCCCGCCCGGCCCTCCCCTCCCGTTTGCTATCATTCCTGGTTCTTCACCTTTCAGAAGTTTATTTAGATATTTGGTGTCACTGGAAAATATGCCCTGTGTGTGTTTAATTTCCTTAAATGGTATTGTGTTCAGAAAAACAAAAATCTCTTTCTTATTTTTTTTCCTCCTCTTTTTTCCCCCCTGTGCTGGGGATGGAACCAGGCCTCACGCAGCTTGGCTGCGGCTCTCCCACTGAGCCGTCCCCCACGTCTCCACGTACGCTGGTGGGTTTGTGGGTTTTGTTTTTTTTTCTTGTAGATGGACACAATACCTTTATTTCATTTATATGTGGTTCTGAGGGTGGAACCTAGTGCCTCACACATGCCAGGCAAGTGCTCTGCCCCTGAGCCACCACCCCAGCCCTACACTGGTGTTTTTAAATCTGGTTTGTCACTTTCGAGAAGCTGAGTAGATTTCTGTCCTGGGGGAGTTCCAGCCTTTCCCCATCTCCTCCCCTCATGGTGGGAGCCAGGAGGTAGCTTCCACCTTTGGCTCCTGTGGACGATGCTAGGGCCACTCTCTCCCTGGCCTCCGGGTCCTGTCTGGTGGTCTGTGCCAACGCCCCGTGGGATGCCCTCCGCCGGGCCTGGGCTGCTGCCTGGCTCCCCGTGTCTCCATACGAGGCCCATCCACCTTTCTTGCTTTGCCCGCCTTTTGCTGGTGCAGAGTTCTCGCTCCTTGTTGGAATTTGCATTTCTCTGGTTTCCAGTGCGGCTGAGCATCTCCCTGTGTGTCTAATGAGCCTTCGTCCATTTGTCTAGGAGGAACTTTCAGAGGTTCTTGGCATCATCCAGAATAGGGAGTGGCAGACGATGACCTGTCGCCTGTTTTTGTGGCCCTCAGCTGAGAAATGTTTTTATATTTTTAAGCAATGGAACTGGGCCAGGGTGGAGCCCGGGGACGGAGCACTCGCCTAGTGCCCATGGCCCTGGGTTCCGTCCCCAGCAACGCCTCCCCCCAAAAACTGATGGTGAAACACACAACATAAAATTTATTAGTTGAACCATTTTAAGGGGACTGTTCATTCATGGCCGGGAGCTCGTTCCCACTGTCGTTCAGCCATCCCCACCTCGAGCTCCGGAGCGTTCACCTCTTTCCCCGTTAAACGCTGATCCCCAGCCCCCCAGCCCTGTACCCCGCTCTGCCTACTCTATTTCTGTCTCTCTGGTCTGGTGACTCTGGCACCTCCAGTGAGTGGAGTCTGTCTGCACCTTATGTCTGACCGATTTCACGAGCCTGTGCTTCCGTCTCATCTGTTCTCTCTCCTGTGACTCTAAGTCAGGAGCCCTGAGTCTGGGGCAGAGATGGGGAGTGACAACCATGTGCACATAATCCCAGTGGTTCAGGAGGCTGAGGCAGGAGGATCGCAAATTCAAAGCCAGCCTCAGCAACTTAGCGAGGCCCTAAGCAACTTAGCGAGGCCCTGTTTCTAAATAAAAAAAAAGAAAAAGGGCTGAGGATGTGGCTCAGTGGCCGTGCGCCCCTGGGTTTCAGTGCCCAGCACCAAAATAAAAAATAAACACAAAGGTTGGGAATGACCATCTGCCTCCCCACACATTCCACTTGGCTATACCGTGTGTTTAACGTGGGTTTATTGTCGAGGTTTAAAAGAAAACGAGGCCAGGTGTGTCACTGGGAGGTAGAGCACTTGCCTCGAATGCACGAGGCCCTGGGTTCCATCTTCAATACTGCATAAAAAATAACAATAAATGTTAAACATATAATAAAATAATCGGGGAATTCACGTACACTGGCATTTGCCTCTGACTCCCATGGGAGTGCAAGCCTCGACCACACCCTGGGTCCAACTGTCCCTAGGCCCAGTGTCACCTGCAGCCCCGCCCTCCCACCCTGGCCTGTTCGGGGCCTCTCTCCCTTCTCCGCTACCCTTGAGTGTTGCGTGTGAACTTAAGGAAGTCATACTGCATGTGTCAAGAAGATTGTATCCATTAAGGGAACTTCAAAGCACTGGCCTTCAGCAGCTGTGCCCAGTGGCAGGAAGGGGAAACCCCACACCCCGCGGAAGTGGCAACTCCGAGGCCATGTGTGGCCTGGGGGCCTGAATGGATCCTGAGACAGGGCAGCCTGGCACGGCGGAGGCTGGACGGTCATTCCCTCTCCCGCCTGCTGGGCTGGTGCATTAGCCCCCTGCTGTCACTATCCCAGCTTGGGCGGCAGATGACCCAGGGATTGTGCCTAGGAAGTCACCTTTGTCCTCAACCTACTTAGGAAGCATTTCAACTGTGATAAATACACGTAAAACTTACCAGTTGAACCTTTGTTTCTTTCTTGCAGTGCTGAGGATGGAGCCCAGGGTCTCCTGGGCTTGGCAGGTGCTCCTCCACTGAGCTGCACCTCAGCCCCAAGTCCTAGGTTCCTAATAGCCATTGTGGCCTCACTTTCCTGATGATTAAAGCAATGCCTGCCTAACGTCAAATCAGGGGATCCAACACTCCCATGCTTTAGGCATGTAATGCTTTTTGGGGGGAGGGCGGCACCGGGAATTGAACTCAGGCACTCACTCGACCCCTGAGCCACATCCCCAGCCCATTTTTAAATTTTATTTAGAGACAGAGTCTCACTGAGTTGCTCCGTGCCTTGATTTTTGCTGCGACTGGCTTTGAACTTGTGTTCCTCTTGCCTCAGCCTCCCAAGCCGCTGGGATTACAGGCATGTGTCACTGTGCCTGGCTCATAGATACATTTTGTGGTTTTTTTCCCTTCCTGTAAAAAAAAAAAAAAAAAAAAGTAATAAGGATGGGTATAGCTCAGTGGTTGTGCTCCCCTGGATTCAATCCCCAGTACCAAATAATAAATACAAAGCCTGGGAATGGTCATCTGCCTCCCCACATGTTCCACTTGGCTATCCAGTGTGTTTAATGTGAATTTATTATTAAGGTCTAAAAGAAAAAGTCAGGAGGCCAGGGATGTCACTCAGTGGTAAGAGCACTTGCCCAGCATGCACGAGGCCCTGGGTTCCAGCCCAAAAAAGAAAATAAACAGGGGCGTGGTGGCACACACCTGTAATCCCAGCAGCTAGGGAGGCTGAGAAAGGAGGATCACAGGTTCAAAGCCAGCCTCAGCAGTGGCAAGGTGCTGAGCGACTTAGCAAGGCCTTCTCTCAAAACATAAAAGGGCCGGGGCTGGGGCTCAGTGGCTAAGTGCCCCTGGATTCAGTTCATGGTACCAATAAATAAAGAAGAAAAACTGAACACGAAATGAATTCTAAAACACAATGCTACTTAAAAGGGGACTGGGATGTGGCTCAGTGGTAGACAGCCCCTGAGGTTCAATCCCCACTACCAAAAAAAAAAAAAAGGAGTTTACAGTAATCTGGAAGTAACAAGTATTTCTCCAGGGCTCTTGACATGCTGGGATTGTGGTAAGCCCTTCATGTCACTCTGCCTTCTCTCGTCTGCACAGTGGTGATGCCATGAGGTAAGATGTGTCATCTGCTTGAATACTTCATACAGCATCAGGGCGGGGACTCCCAAGCCAGCCCTGTAGGGCCACAGGGACCCTGTCCCTGATCAGCTGCAGGGCAAGCCACAGACTAGGGTTAGTGTAGGATTTTGCCACCCACTTGCTGGTGACCTTGGAGCTCTTGTCCCAGCCTCACCTCTAAGAGTCGCTATGCCTCAGTTTCCTCCCCTGCCATAGCCTGACCCTCCAGATGACACAATGTAAGACTTAGCCCTTGTGAGAGCACCTGGCTCAGGACATGTGAGTGACAAGCAGCAACTGTCACAACTGTTGTCATTTGCTTGTTGTGACCCTCAGCAGACACCTCATTTCGTGTCCTTCCAGGTCTCTCTCAGGCACCTACAGAGTCCTCGTCCCCGCCAGGGTCTGCAGCAGCCGCCGCCCAGGTGGAGCCCGAGAAGAGCACAGGCCAGGAGCCCACGGGTGACTGCACCAGCAGGGAGCCCACCAGGCAGGTGGCCTCTAGCGAATTGGAGGAGGCCAGGGGTGCAGGTAAGGGGTGGTGGCCATGGAGGGGGACAGGACCAGGGTGACCAGGATGGGTTGAGCTCTTTCTGTGACGCAGTCCTCCCTCTAGGCGGTTCCCTGGCCGGAGTGCGGTCCATCATGAAGCGGAAAGAGGAGCCCGCGGACCCCGAGGCCCGGCGCAGGAGCCTGCAGTTCGTGGGCGTCAACGGCGGGTGAGAGGACCCCCATCCCTCAGCCCTTCCCTTTTTTTCAGTTCATTCATGCAGAAGAAAGAGCATAATAAACACCTTATTCTAAGTCCCCCACTTGGGCTAATCCATTGACTCAAATGACAACAGGTAGATGAGGAGACAGGCCTGAGGAAGCTACGTGTCTAGCAGGGGTAGTGATCCAGGAGACCAGGTATGGTGGTGCACACCTGTAATCCAGTGAGGGAGGCTGAGGCAGGAGGATGGCAAGTTTGAGGCCTGCCTCAGCAATTTAGCAAAGCCTTAAGCAATTGAGCAAGATCATGTTTGAAAATTTAAAAATAAAAAAGGACTGGGGGTGTAGCTCAATGGTAAAGGGCCCCTGGGTTCAATTCTTAGTACCAAAAAACAAAACTCAGTGACCAGGAGTTTGCCCTGGCTCCAGAGCTTGTGGCTGGCCTAGCCCCTGGGAGATGCCGATTCCACTCCCTGCTCTGATGCAGCCTTGATCCAGTGGGGCAGTGGGTCCTGAGAGCAGGTTCCAGGCCGGATGGAGCCTCTGAGGAGGCACTGCTGGCCCTGACCCATAGGAGTCCCAGAAGCAGAGGACAAGTAGGAGCAGGCAAAGTGAAGGGCGGGGTGTGGGAGGGCGCTGCTGATAGAGGCGCCAGCCCAGGCAGGAGGAGGCAGATAGAGAAGCAGGACGCCGAGGCAGCCATGGCCAGTGGGAGCCTCCAGTGCCACCCAGGAGCTTAGGGTGTCCAGGAGCAGCAAGGAGCCCAGAAAGTCCTGTGCAAGGCAGGTGCAGGTCGAGTTGGTGACACCCACGGGGCAGGGGCAGGGGGCATAGAGATAGAAGTTGTAGAGCAGCACCCGGCGTGGCCAGTCACAGCTGCTGTTCCTGCAGCGTGGACGGGATGCCAGCTGCCGTCCCTTCCTGGATGTGCATCTCCTCACCTGCCTTCCTTCCTCCCCAGGTATGAGTCCTCATCGGAAGACTCCAGCACAGCTGAGAACTTCTCAGATAATGACAGCACAGAGAACGAGGCCACAGAGCCCGAAGACAGGGTTCCAAGTGTGGCCTCAGTGCCCCAGCTCAGGCCAGGGACAGCGATGGCCAAGACCAGCCGGCAAGAGTGTCAGTTATCTCGGGAGTCTCAGCATGTACCCACAGCTGAGGGGGCCTCGGGATCCAACTCGGAGGAGGAGATCCGGTCAGTTTTCTGGGTGGGAGAGATTCAGAGAGGGTGAGGACGGTTGAGTCTCTTTCTCAGATCCAGCCAAGCCCTCTGAGAGCCCACCTACCAGTCATGCACACTGTAGTGGGAATTAGCGAACAAGTGCTTTCTCCTGAGCATCCAAAGTTCTGGAGGCCATCAAAGCCTCTTTCTAGCTCCTGGTGTTAGGTTTTAGGAGACAAAAGTCTCTCCTTACCACTCCTCTTCTTTGGGGCATGTACTCTAACACCCATTCTACTTTTTTATGTCTCCTATTTTTTTTTTTTTCCTGATAAAAAATCTGCCCTGAGGAAAGACTTTCTGTTCACTCCTGGCCATTTGGAATGACCCAGCCCACATGTCCACTTTGTCCTGTAACCTGTGTGTTCCCCGTGACCCTGGTGAAGAGGGTCTGCAGTGCCGCCCTTCAGTTGACCCTGGCAGGACTTCATGGGTGCCACAGTGGAGAGCACTCCTCAAGCTTCCCAGCTGGACATGGGGTGGGGACAGGAGTCCAAGGGACCTGGCGCTCAGACCAAGGTCCTCTTGTTCTTTGGCAGGATGGAGCTGAGCCCCGACCTCATCTCGGCCTGCTTGGCCCTGGAGAAGTACCTGGGCAACCCCAACGCCCTCACGGAGCGGGAGCTGGTAGGCTGAGCCCTAAGCAGACCCCCATCCCATCCCACCACTCCTGGCTGCTGCTTGCCCTTGGTGGCCCCCTCCATCTGCCTAGTGAGGACCCTGAGACCCACAGCCGGGGGTCTGGGATGGGTGGGACTTGAGCCGTGGACCCTGGAGACGGGCCAGGGAGGCAGAGGGGGCCCCGGTTCAGTGGTTGCTCTTGCTTCTGCGGCCTGAGGGGAGGGGCTGCCTTGCTCTTGCCCTCGGAGGTGGTCTCCAGGCAGAGGCGGCCTTCTGGGAAGGCATCCCGTGTCTACACCCGCCCTGAGGGTCTTAGTGAGATGGGGTGCTGTCCCTCAGAGCCCTGTGCAGGGTGGGGGGCACCTCAGTTGGCTCCAGGGGCTCCTCTGGGGGGAAGACCTCCCCCATCCGGGCCTTTGTCCCTCTCGCCCCTCCCCCACCTAGAAAGTGGCCTACACCACGGTGCTGCAGGAGTGGCTGCGCCTGGCGTGCCGCAGCGATGCACACCCCGAGCTGGTGCGGCGCCACCTGGTCACCTTCCGGGCCATGTCCGCGCGGCTGCTGGACTACGTGGTCAACATCGCCGACAGCAACGGCAACACGGCGCTGCACTACTCCGTGTCACACGCCAACTTCCCTGTGGTGCGGCAGCTGCTGGACAGCGGTGAGCGCGGGTGGCCCGAAGGGGGCCCAGCCTCCCTGGGGGACACAGCCTCCCCTCTGGTGGAGGAGGCGCATCTCCTTCTGTTCGTAAGGACCCCTCGTCTAGCTGTATGATGGCAGTGGGGACCCCCGGGGCAGGGAGGACTTCCAGGGAGCAATTAGGCAGCGCCTAGACGGAAGGAGGAGAGCGCAGTGGCGCTCAGGGCCGGGAGGGAAGGCGGCTTCCCTTCTGATGGTGGAGGCCTGGCGGTCCCAGGGCTGTCATCCACCAGGTCCCCTCCCCACCATGCAGGTGTCTGCCAGGTGGACAAGCAGAACCGCGCGGGCTACAGCCCCATCATGCTCACCGCCCTGGCCACCCTGAAGACCCAGGATGACATTGAGACTGTCATTCAGCTCTTCCGGCTTGGAGATGTCAACGCCAAAGCCAGCCAGGTAGGTACAGGGGCCCTGGGCCTGCACAGGCCTGGGGAGCTTGGCCCCTTGAGTGAGCCCCCACTGCGTGCCAGGCCCAGCGGTGCCCTCAGCTCCCATTCCGGGGAGCGGCCACTCCACAGGCTCAGAGGGCTGCCTCACTCCTCGAGGTCAGAGTCCAGGAGGTAGGATCTGAACTGTGGTCCAGCTGCAGAGCCCTGCTCTTCATGACCTGCCGTGTGGCCGCAGGGCCTTGGGTTCATCCCTAGCACTGTCCCTCCCCCCAAAAAAAGAAGAGTAGGACAGCCAAGACCCCATGGGATGCTGGGAAGGGGGGATGCAGCAAGTTGGGGCGCTCAGCACAGGAGCACAGGGAAGCCCTGGAAGGTTCTGGAGCCGGGGCCTCGTACCTTTGGTCCCACATGGACTATGACCATGGTCCTTGCCCAGGCGGGGCAGACAGCCCTGATGCTGGCGGTCAGCCACGGGCGAGTGGATGTGGTGAAAGCCCTCCTGACCTGCGAGGCGGACGTCAACGTGCAGGACGATGACGGCTCCACGGCGCTCATGTGTGCCTGTGAGCACGGCCACAAGGAGATCGCGGGGCTGCTGCTGGCTGTGCCCAGCTGTGACATCTCGCTCACCGACCGCGTAAGTGCCCGCCCAGGGGCTCCCCGGGAGGGTGGAGTGTGACCAGGCAGTAGCACAGCAGCGGCTTCTTTGCAGGATGGGAGCACCGCTCTCATGGTGGCCCTGGATGCCGGGCAGAGCGAGATCGCGTCCATGCTGTACTCCCGCATGAACATCAAGTGCTCGGTGAGTCTCAGGCAGGGTGGGAGGTGACAGGTGTATGTGAAGAGTGGGTGGTAGGCCAGGCGCAGTGGCTCACGCCTGTAATCACAGTGACTTGGGAGGCCGAGAGAGGAGGATCACAAGTTTGAGGCAGCCTCTGCAATTTAACCAAACCTGGTCTCAGAAAGGACTGAGGATGTAGTTAAGTATTAAAGCACCTCTGGGTTCAATCCCTGGTACCTTCCCCACAAAATCATAAGGTATGGGAAGCTGAGACAAGAGGATCGCTTGAGACCAGGAGTTCAAGGCCAGTCAGGGCAACATAGCAAGACCGTGTTTCAAACAAAGAAATCGTAAGTCAAACCATAGCTTGAAGACTGTATTTCCTGGGGCTGGGGATGTGGCTCAAGCGGTAGCGCGCTCGCCTGGCATGCGTGCGGCACTGGGTTTGATTCTTGGCACCACATACAAATAAATTAAAAAAAAAATAAAGGTCCATCAACAACTAAAAAAATATTTAAAAAAAAAAAAAAGTGACATTTCAGCCTGTATCTGAAGAAGTGAGGGAGTGAGTCACGTGGCCATCTAAGCACAAGGGGCAGCCATGCAAAGGCCCTGAGGCAGGAATGTGCCTGTGCATTTACGAAGCATCAGGGAGCCCAAGAGGAAGAGGCAAGGGCAGAGTGACGTGGCAGATTGTGGGAGACCAGGGTGGGCCAGAGTGAGGACTTTGGCTTAGACTTCAACATGTCAGCATATTAAAGTCCTAGAAAACCTCACTGAAAAGAAACCTAACTCTGCGTACTCAGCATTTCTTTTATTTGACCACAGAAATCTTGGTTTGTTTTTTTTTCCCCAAATCCTGCCTTAGCTGGGCATGGCAGCACACACTATAATCCCAGTAACTTGGGAGGCAGAGGCAGGAGGATTGCAAGTTTGAGGCCAGCCTAGACACCTGAGCAAGACTCTGTCAGTGGTAGAGTGCCCGCCCAGCAGGCATGAGGCCCTGGGTTCCATGCCCAGAACAGACAGAGGAACTGCCTAAGGGGGCCCAGGGCCGCGACTGCCCAGACAACCGCCCGTCTCCCACTCACCCCAGCTCCCACGGAGCCCCGCCTTCCTACATCCCCACTACCCTTGTGCCCTGTTCAGGGTGTCGGGCCGCGGGGCCTCAGTCCTGTCCCACAGGGAATCGCTGTGGGCCTGCTTCCAACTAGAAGATGGGAGTGACAGGGCCTCTAGTGTCCTAAATGTCCCTGCAGTTTGACCTGTGGCCCTGTCCCCAGAGACCCCTGAGGGACAGACCCTCATCCATCACCTGGACCACTCACTGCGGTATCTTCCACCCTGGCCCCCACTTCCTGGCCTCGCCCTACTCCCCGACCTCCAGCCTGTCCCCCCGTAGCAGCCAGAGGCCACTGTGGACACTGGAGTCAGGGCACCTCTCTCCACTCTCAACAGTCTACGACTCCTGCCTCACTGGAGAAAAGGCCACAGTCCTTCTGGGAGCCCATCAGGCCCTATGCAGCCACCCTTCCCCGCTCCTGCCAGGGTACCCGTATCACAGCTCCTCTGCTTCTGCCCCAGGACCTTCGCACTTACTGTTCCTCCAGCTGCCTCTGCCAGCCTCTGGGATCAGGTCACACACACACACACACACACACACATGCACGCACGCACACACACACGCTCTGCCTGCATCCCCTCCATCTCTTATCCCCAGTGACAGTCCTCCAGCCTTTGTTTCTTCAAGGCATCCCTTATTTGAAGCCAAGAGCTACACCTCCCGCAGGGCAGGCCCACCCACCACATCCACAGGCCAGCCCTAATGTCCACGCCTCAGAAAGGGGATCTGAAATAACACCAAACAAAGAGCACTGGCTTCTCGTTACAGTTCGCCCCGATGTCAGATGACGAGAACCTGGCGTCGTCCTCCGCCGAAGAGTAGCCAAGGGAGGGAGGCCGGAGCCTCCCTTGGGGCCACTGGCCCGCCAGCCGTCCTGTCTCCTCTCTGCCCCTCTCTCCTCCTCGGGCTTCCTCCCACGCCCCCAGGCCCAAGTCTGGAAGGCAAACAGTTTTCCCTCCGCGTCCCCAGGGAGCCCAGGACACGGACGCGCAGGGGACTCCTGCTCCAGTTGGTTTTCCGGCACCCAAGTTCAAAGCAGCGGCCCAGAGCAAAGCTAAACTCTTGTCTAAAGCGGCGCCAGTGGCTGTTGGCTGGGGTGTGGGTTTTATAAAGAACGTTGAGAACAATCAGCCGGCAATTATGGGCGGAGGAGGGGAAAATTTTATATTTTTGAATCATTGTCGGGGGAGGGGCACGATCCTCCTGTGTGTTGCCAAATTTGAAAGTCACTGGAATTGTGTGTGCTCCTGTAATCCTGGATGTCAAGGCACGGTCATCACTCGAGTGGCTTTGCCCACCCCCCGCCTCCCCCACTCGTACTAACTGTCCAGTTATAGCGTCTGTTGCCCCCACTCCAGGTGGCTTTCTAGGGGATATTTCTTCTCTTGCTTCACAGAATAGCTTCCGCCCTGTCACATCACCCCCTGGGCAGAAAGCTGAGCCCTTCTCTCTTGTTGTGTCTGCCAGCATCACTCCCACTCAAGTTGGGGGACTCAGGACCCTGCGGCCTGTGCCCTGGTAGCCTCTGACTTGTAGGTAACCCGTTCACAAGGAGAAATGACCCAGAAATCCATCCCGCCCCTGTACAGAGGCCCTGGCAAATAGCAGTTTCCTAGAAAATCCTTCAGACCTAGAGTTGAAAGAAAAAGATCCAGTTCTCAGAGTGGCTGCTACATCCAGAGCCCAGAACCGTGGTTACAGGGCCCTCCTCTTCCTCCACAGGTCTCCAGAATTTCTCTCCTCAAAGGAGAGAAAACAGGGAATGTGTTTGTTGGCAAAGCATAGGGCAGGCTCCACAAACCCCATGTGTACACAATTAAAAGTTGGCTGCCCCCAGAGGACTCCCAGCAAACTTAAAGAGACAGGCCTCTGCCGAAAACCAAACAAAGGGCAGCTGGATTTTTTTTTTTTTTTCAAACAACCTAGAGACTTTCCGGAGCTGCCTGGAGTAGAGCCTGCTGGAAACAGGGCTCGCCAGAGAGGCTTATGGTTTCCTTCTGGGTCTGTTTTGTCCCCAGAATCTCAATGTGGTTCTCCTTCCTGTTCCTTTCCTCGGGAAGCAGGAAAAAGATCAGGCTTCCAAGCTCTTCAGTGTGCCTTGTTAAGGCCTCCCGAGGCCGTCCTGCCCTCCAGGTCCACAGGGCTTTGAAGCCCCAGCCCAGCAGGACAGAGTGAGCCCCAGGAGCGCACGGGTTCATGAAATAGAGCCGGGAGCTGTCTGCTCACCTAGAGAAGCAGGCTTCTGGGCTTGCTGTAGCCTGGCTTGCTTGGATTTTTGTAGAAGGTCAGTCTATGCTTGGACAAGAAGGCTTGGGCGGTCCAGGACGGGGTGGGTGGGTGGGTGGGTGGGGTGCGTGTGAAACTAGAGAAAACCCCAGGTGAGCGAGCAGGTGCTGTGTCCAAGCTCCCAGAAGCAGCCCTTTGGCCCAGGAGTGCTGACCCCTCCCATCACCCGCATCACTCGGTCATTCCTCTCTGCATGCCCATTGGGCTGCACGGGGTCATGCCCCGTCCCTACCCTCTTCCCGCGTGTATTCCTGAGCTTTAATTTCACTTTCTGACCACGGTACGTCCATAAAGACAGTATTACACTAAATGAAGTATTCTTTTTTGTAATCTCTTTTTTAGAACGTAAAGAATTTAATAAAGCTACAAATAATGTGGATGCGCCTCTGTCTTTGTGTCATTGTAGTTGTCCGTGTGTGGATGGAGCCGGGGCCTTGTGCGTGACAGGCAAGTGCTCAGCCTCAGCCGCGGCCCTGGCCCTTGCTAGGTTTTCTCTCTCTCTCTCTCTCTCTCTCTCTCTTTTTTTTTTTGGATGCCCAGGGGCCCCTAACCCTAAGCCACATTCATACTTGGCCTTTTTAAAATTTTATTTAGAGACAGGTTCTCCCAGAGGCTGGCTTTGAACTCACGTTCCTCTTTCCTACCTCAGCCTCCTGAGCTTCTGGGATTACGTGTGTGCACCGTGGCGCCTGGTCCCCCAGCTCTTCCTTTTTTTTGGCACTGGGTAGTGAATCCAGGGCCACTCAACCACTGAGCCATACCCCCAGCCCTTTTTTGTATCTTTAGAGAAAAGTTCGCACTGAGTTACTTAGGGCCTCGCTGAGTTGCTGAGGCCGGCTTTGAACTCACAATCCTCCTGCCTCAGCCTCCCAAACCCCTGGGATTACAGGCATGGGCCAGCCCTTACTTTTTATTGTTTTAAGTACATACCTTTTGTGCACAAGTTGTACATAAAAGTTGTACATAAAAGTGGCTTCTGCAAACCAGTCACCAGCACCAGGAGAGGAAGTGGAGTGCCCTCAGCTCCCCCGCAGCCCTCCAGCCCCCTCCTCCCAACTGCGATGGGGCTGGAGGTTCCCCTGACTCCTCCACTCCCTTCAGTTTCCCCCTGGGCTGTTCAACCAGGAGACACAGAATGGGTGACTTTCAGAAGTTTTTGGAGGTCCCAAACATTTAACGCAAAGGAGAGCACTTCTAAGTGGAAGGTCCTTGGCTCTTCTCAGTTTCCCAGGACTTTGTGAGCCAAGAAGGGGCCTTTAGGAAATGAAGGATTGTTTCTCACGAGGCCGTTGCCAGGACCGTTTATCATCATCTTTGTTTTCTGTCAGCTCTTACTGAAGACCCTGTCCGCCCCACTGAGTTTCTTTGCTTTTTTTTTTTTTTTTTTTTCTTGTGTGTGTGTGTGTGTGTGTTTCATTTTTGTGGTGCTGCAGATGGAGCCCAGGGCCTCAAGCATGCTGGGCAAGTGCTCTACCAAGAGCTGCACCCCCAGGTCATTATATAGACACATTTTTTTTTTTCGTACTTGGGATTGAACCCAGGGCACTCCACCCCTGAACCACATCCCTAGCTCTTTATTTTTCATTTTGAGACAGTGTCTTGCTAAGATGCCCAGGGTGACCTCTAACTTGTGATCCTCCTACCTCAGCTTTCTGAGTCACTGGGGATTACAGGTGCATGCCACTGTCCCTGGCTCCAGCCCAGAATATTTTTGAAAAATATTTTCCCCTTAGTTGTTGATAGATGTTTATTTTATTTATCTATATGTGGTGTTGAGAGTGGAACCCAGTGCCTTACACGTGCAAGGCAAGTGCGCCACAGTCCCAGCCCCAGAATGTTTTTGATTCTGGTAAAACGTACATGTGATAAAATTGACCATCTTAACCAATTTCTTTTTTGGGGGGCGGTTTCCTGGGATCCAACTCGGGGCCTCACCGGTATGTACTCTACTGCTGAGCTACAGCCTGGCCCCATGAATCTTTTTTTTTTTTTTTTTTTTTAGTTGTAGATGCACACGATACCTTTATTTTATATATTCTTTTTTATGTGGTGCTGAGGATCAAACCCAGTGCCTCTCATGTGCTAGGCAAGCGCTCTGCCACTGAGCCACAGCCCCAGCCCCTTGAACTTTTAAGTGTCCAGTTCAGTGGCATGAAGTACACCCACAGGTTGTGCAACCCACCTCCAGAACACCTTTCATCTTGCAAAACTGAAACTCTGTCCCCATTAAACATTCACCCCATTCCCCAGCCGCAGCCTGCGTTCTCCATATCTGTGAATCTGACTGTTTTCAGGGTCGCCTCTAAGTGGAGGCCTGCAGGATTTGTCCCTTGGTGTCTGGCTTATGTCCCTCATAAAGCCCTCCGAGTTCCCCAGGGCATCCTCGCACTTGCCAGGACCACCTTCCTTCTCAAGGTGGAATCCTCTTCATTTTATGGATGGACCACACCGCGCCATCCATGTCCAGTGATGGGTACTTGGGTTGTTTCTGCCTCCCGGCTCTTGTGAATAATGCTGCTATGAACTCGTTCTTGCTCATTTCTATCCCAGGCCCTGCTTTTCCATCTTCACATACCTAAGAGTAGAATTCCTAGTAGGATGATTTGATTTCTAATTTTTTCCTTACTGGGGATTCAACTTGGAGGCACTTAACTACAGAGCCACATCCCCAGCCCTTTCTTACATTTAGAGACAGGGCCTCGCTGAGTTGCTTAAGGCCTCAATAAGATGCTGAAGCTGGCTTTGAACTTGTGATCCTCCTGCCTCAGCCTCCCTAGCCGCTGGAATGACAGGCATGTGCCACAGGCATGTGCCACCTTGCCCATCCCTGTTTCTAACTTTTTGAAGAATGTTACACTGTTTTCTAGAGCAGCTGCATCATTTCATGTCCCTATCAAGAGTGCACAAGAGCAGGCTGGGACTCAGTGGTAGAGCACTTGCCTAGCATGTGTGAAGCAGTGGGTTCGATCCTCAGCACCACATAAAGATAAATACAATAAAGGTATTGTGTCCATCAACAACTAAAAATATTTTTAAAGCGTTCATGAGGGTTTCAATCTCTCCTCATCAGCTGGCTCCTTTTATTTTACTTATTTTTTTTTGGTTTGTTTTGGATAGTGGCCATCCTAATGACTGTCAGGTGGACCTCACTGCTTTTTTTGGAAGGGAGGTGGGTGGCCTTTTTTGGCAGTATTTCTGTCTGTCAGGCTCTGGTTGCACAATCTTGCATGGCTTATCTCCTGGACATCCCGCTCCAGATGATAAGAGAAGGCTATCTTTAGCCCCAGAGCTTAGAAAGAAAGATTGTGAATTTGCCAAGGACACAGGTAAGCTGCCCAGCCAGAAACTGAACCCAAGATTTGGGTGCGTGTGACATTGGGGATTGAACCCAGGGTCGCTTTACCACTGAGCCACACAGGGTCTTGCTAACTTGCTGAGGCTGGCCTTGAACTTGCAATCTTCCTGCCTCAGCCTCCTGAGTCACTGGGAGTACAGGCATTGCCACAGGGCCTGTTTCCTTTGCCCCCTTCCTCCTCCCTTCCTTCTTTCCTCCTTCCCTCCCTCCCTTCCTTTCCTCCTTCCTTCCCTTCCTCTCTCCCTCCCTTCTGTGATGGAACTCAGCACCTGGTGCATGCTAAGCAAGCACTCTATGGCTGAGCTACACCTCATGCTGGGGTGATTCCTAACTTGAAATCTAAGGATAGCCTTCCAGGGTCTTAGAACTCGCCAAAAGGTGTGTAAGGGCTGAAATGTAGCTTAATGGTAGAGCACTGGTTTTGAATGCACAAGGCCCTGGGTTTAATCCCTAGTGCTGCAAAAACAAACAAGCCAAAAGGTGCAGAAAATCCAAAAATGTATGGATGTTGTGTACATGAGTCTCTCTCCTTGCTTTCCTAGACTTCAAAGGAATCCCAGGAAAGCAGTGTCCCTATCTATATAAGCAATTAAAAAAATAGAAGCAGCCCCTCGGCAAGTCCTGTCTCTTGTAAATAAGCTGAGGAGGGAGATGATGGAGCCCGTCAGGACCCTGACAGTTTGCCGAAGTTTCCACTGTGACTCCTCACTTTGCTCCCTGGCAGCTGGAGCCGAGCTTGGAACTTGGTGCGTGCACGCACTGATTTTTCTCTATTCTATGTTGTAGCCACGCACTGATTTTTCTCTATTCTATGTTGTAGAAAATACTAATCATGACACCCGCCCCCACAAAGCGATACCTTTACAGTTTGAGGACCATGTCACTGAATTTTGTCTTTCCTCAACTGTAACCCCTCACATAGTGTGAGGTTTGAGGGTATTTTAGGCACTCCACCCACTCGATTCCATGTGTGAGTCTCACTTAACACCTATATATAACACTTTACTGAATACCAGACACAATCCTTATTTTATCCTAACAGCAGCCCTGAGCTCGGCACTAATTATGGCCCTCCTTTTACTGAGAAGGAAGGTAAGGCACTGAGTGGTTAAGTGACTAGCCCAGGATAACACAGCGCACAGCTACTGTAAAGCTGATTGGAACCCAATGAGACTGCAGACTTCATTTTGGTAACCAATTTTTTTGTTTGTTGTGTGTATCCTATACACACACTATAAAACGTCGGCTCCATAAGAAGCAGCCCGAAGCTTTGCCCCTGC